TTGCCCATCCATTTGGTTTATAACTGTTTAAAAGTCATAAGCTTAAGATTTAGAACTCTATTGAAACTATTTATAAGATAACTATATTATAGTATCTATATTAAAATTAAATTAAATTTAGATTACATGCCTGTATACGAGTGTATACCTAACCCAGTTTTGGTTAGAATTTTCTCGTTTTTGCTTTTTAAAATTATGATAATAATTGTTTATATTATGTACATTCTTAACATTTAACGTCCACATTCCTGTGATCGATATTACTTCAAGACAATTTTTATGATTCATAATAATGCAAATCATAGCATAATACGATTTGCGTTTAATCAATTAACTGCATTTTTTTTTACATTTATCGATAAAAATATGTTAGACTACTATCATTAATATTATATGAACAATCGACCGGGGATTATATTGTCTGTGTGGACAGATGAAGAAGTCTGCATTTCCGTAGATCTATTTCAATAATATATAAACATACAACTTAAATACATCTTTTTGCTTATAGACGTACAGTGATTTAGCAGGATTTCTCAGACTAATGCGTTATTATAGTGTATAACATTAGTAGTGTCATTTATATTGATCTGTTAATAAAATAGTCGCTACAATTATCTAGTGTAGGAATCTAGTATAGGTATATTATAATCTAAATACTATTAACGATATTACAATAAATCTAACAACTCCCTCAAAATACACTCACGACACACACATCGTCATAGTTGCATGTCAACGGTAAATTCGATTAAATTACACGATTATTGTAATTTTATACGTAAAATTTCACTATAATAATATAATATGCTTACCTATCATCTCTGGTTGAATTATACCTATAAATCATGATCATTTGGTTTCAACGAATACTCTTTAAATATATATTTAAATATATGTAAACCGCTTATAACAATAATTAGTGAGTTCGATCAGATGCAAGTCAACATCCATATTATTTAATTCATTTACGAGTTACAATTTAATTAATGTTCATTTAATAATAAGGTCTTAAAATGAATTCGAAAATAGGTATTATAGTACAATTATTCATTAAAAATATACAAAAATTGTTTTGAATACTAATGATTATGTTGCAGCTATTATTAAAATAATGTATAATACAGACACATTACAACTGTGGCAATGATATTCATCAATACCCAAACAATTTTTTTTGTTGATTGAGTTTGGAATTTTTGATTATATATGTCTTAATAACTTCATTTAATTTAGTTAAATCAATAACATGCCATTAGAGACGCCAGCGAGTTATTCATTTGTATATTTTACACTAATCTTATACATATTTTATACCAGAACACATTTTCGGCATTGTAAAATTATATTTTTTCATAATTTAATCTGATTTTTGCAATTAATATTTTTAACATTATAGTTTAAGTATTGCGTTTGTATTTTACAAATTATTAATGTATTCATATTTTAAAGGTATACTTTGTTTACATAACATTTAGTTTTGGGGTGGATCTTTTATGATTCTTTTTACAATCATTTTGTATTAGTGTCCAAGGAACACCATACTCGAGGTTTAAAATAAATATTGAGTTCTTACTTTCCAATATTAATTACTATAATTTATAACCTACTCCGCTCAAGTTTAAGTTACCCAGTCTATCTTTCTATCGTTTTCTGTTTGGTTTCAGTCGAACTATATAAATACAAACCTTTAATGAATACAGTTACAATGATTACTTTTATGAATTGCCACTTCTTGATTTTCGCACATATTTTTGATGTACCTGAACACAAAAATGTATATTTATATACCTAATACCTACGAATAAATAATATATATAAGATTTCCATATTTCGAAACAAAATCCCCTAGTGAGACTATCTTTAAAATGAAGATTTTCTAAAATCTATATAGCACTCCTATACATGTTATTCGAAACTGCCATGAAAATAACAAGTCCCATAGCTATCATAGATTCGGCTGTTTATTGATTAGTCAACCAATATTAGACATAGTATTTAAAAGTAAAGTTTAAATAAAATACCTAATAATAACAATATTATTTTTACTTAACACATTTTTTCCTATATACCTAATACAACATAATTATATTATACTATCGAATAATTTGTAACTCAAATCATGGTACATGGATGTAGTTCTGAAATTTAAAATACTTATTTACTATAACTGAACTACTAAACTTGAGTTTGGAAGATCGAATTTATTTAAAGATACTAATTTTTGCATACAATATAGACCGAAATGTTTTTTAAAATCAAGTAGAGTAGTCCTTGAGACGATAACTATAAGTCCAAACCATAATGCTATACCTGCACATAATATTGTCTTGTCAATAATATAAAAATGTGATGCAATTTAATATACATCACGTTGGATCTCTCTCTCACTAGTCTCATCTGAAATGGTCATTGTTTTTTTTTAAATTTTAAATAAACAAAATAACAAAATTATAAATTGATTATTAAATTTTAACAGTTTTATTTTTTATAAATTATATTGTATAAATGATTCAACTCTTGTATTTTTGGCATAAAAAAATATGATTTCCTTCTACCTCAAACTACGAAAAGCTTTGGGGTCACAGAATGGACAAACTTGACAAACAGAGCCTAAACAATTTTCCGGCAAACAACAAGCGGCGTGTTCCGACTGACCTGGCACGTCCAATATTACAACAAAAACAAATGTCGAATGACAATTTTGTCAAACGGAGTCGACGGAAAACATAGAATTTTGCAGAAAGACGAAGTTGTCAAACGAAGAAAGATGTTGCGAACACAACAGGTGTGGTGTGTTTCAATCGGCCTGGCACGCTCAATGGTACTCCAAAAAATGGTCGTTCTTGAGTTCCACGCTAGATATTCGGCAGTTGATGATCACGGCTGTCAGGTCACCGGGGTGGCGTGGACGTTTCAAATGTACACAGTCATTGACAGAGCTTAGAATTGTCTCACTGGGCGGTGTAGTAAAGATCGACCAGTGCCTCATTCTTCCACTTAAATGTAGAGATAGGGATGGCATCCAAACTAACAAGCCGAAATCCTTGCAACCTTATTACCACTTGATGTTGATCGATGCACTAGGATTGGGCCGTGGATCGCAAAATTACAGATGTCCGAGGTGCCACTGTTACGGAACGAACTTGCAGTTATTCCAGTTGTCACCAGAGCTGAGGATCTCTCACTTGCAGTGTATAGCTGAGTGAAGGCTGTTCTGCCGGGGTGCCAACAGAAATTCAACGAAAAATTGCTCGTTTTGAAGAAGTTAAAAAAATGTGTGAAAGAGCTTGCTGAAGCTGAAGCATGCATAATTTGTTTATTTTTTAGACATGGAAAAAAAATCTCCCCTCACGCTCGTGTTACCAGTTACTAGTTACCACGGTCAGCCGCCGCCAACCTGCAGTTTTTGCAGTACCAGAATAGAACGTCATAAGACGTCGACTTGTAAGACGATAAACTTGACAAACGGAGTAGGACGTATCACAGCAGGTGGTGCGTTTCGACCGGCCTGACACGTCCAATGGTACGTCAAATACTACAGGTTGGCGGGTGGTTGATTGTGGTAACTGGTAATACATGAGTGTGGGGTGAAGGTCAAAGTTGATGAAATTACTCCACGTCTACAAAACTATGACAGAATTATACCACATTGTTAAGCGATTTAGGTTGTTGAAGTCAAGATTTAAAATCTGTAAACTTTTTACACAATTATTGATCACTATATTGAACAAGTTCTAAGGCTGGTCATGATCGCGTTTAAAATTTAAAGTTACCTAGGTGAACCAAATTATAATTTTTTTCAACTTTGTAACTTGTTTAGGTATGTTTTGTTTTTTGTTAATTTATAACTACTAACTTAACTTAATTGATTTTTAATTAACTCTATGTATTAAAGAATCACATTTTATGTTTGAGAAGTTAATATAATTTATTTTGTTTTTGATTTTATTTTATTACATCTCAGTCGATTCCGTTTTCATATTAAATAATATTTCAGGTAATGTTTGGTGTGAATTGTTGACTTAAAAATATTTAATACTACAATGTCTAGTCGTCAGTCATATTATTATGGTATGTTACCATTTGATTTTACTAAAATTATTAGAGTGGATTTATGTTTGTTCAAAACTTTTTAAATCATAATAAAGATGAAAGTTCTATACATTATATGTAAAAGTAGATAGCTATATTGTGATTTAAACTTTGTTACATAATATATTAGCTATAGTTAAATAAGAAAATGCCACTGATACGCTAATAGTTATATCAATAATAATATATTACCTAGTGTTAGGTGGCATAAAAATGCATTGCTCTAATGGTTCACTAAAATTTAATGGACCAATAGTTGGCCCCTAAATCAGTTTAAGGGACCATTAGCTCACTATAATTCGTTAAATGTTAAGTGATTGTCTATGTAACCCCGAACCCGGCATATATTATATAAACTATTATAGACTGGTTGGATTGTGGGTGGTGGTCTTAACGACAATAATGTAGATATAAATATACATAATAGCATTAGCTGGCCTATATAGGCGGAAATAAAAATAGAACTTCATTGATTTTGACGAAAACCAATTGTGGACGAAATAAAAAGAAATCAAGGTTATGGAGGTAACGGTGAATGCCCAAACGATCAATTACTATACGTAAATAAATATTTGTACGAAGATAAAAATTTCTCTGTATAAAAGTATGTAATACCAAATAAAATACCATGTTAGTTTTAAGTATAAATAAAACACTTTTGGCATTTTACGAAATCTTTATAGGCATTTGATACTTTTTAGATAATATGGATCATAGATTACTAACATTTATTTTTGTATTTAATGTTACATGATTATAACCATATCTCGGTAATCTGAAATATGTATGAATTATTAACTTTTTAGATTTTACTTCTAATACGGATAAAATGTATTATGTTATTAAATTATTATGTTAATAATTAATTAATATCTATTATATGCCAGCACTTTGTTTTATTCCAGGAAAACTATTTTGCACTTGAAAAAACCCGTTTGGAGTGAATACGAGCACGAACTCTTACAGACTTAAAATTGAAAAGTAAGTAACGAGATTCGTAAATAATAAAGTAATTGTTATTTATTAATACTAAAAAAATGATTAATAATTTAATCCCTATGGATTTAAATTTATGATTTATTATTTGGATTAGTATGTACTTACTACTTATGCGTACTATATTAAAAGATAAAAAGGATTTAAAACTCTTGGAAATTAATTTTCCATACAGTTGTATAAATACACAATAATATATCATAGGTTCCGAAATCCACTCGATTTGTTATTTTGTAAGCAAAAAATCAGCTACCTAATAAGAAATTGGCAATTGGTTTTAATGTTTACTTAATTTCGATTATTTTATTGCTATGCGCTAGTTAATTGTTAGTTTAGGTTAAAATAACATTAAGTAAATTATTCGCTGTTCATCGCCTAATGATGTACCTAATTGAGTAATTTATTTACTTAACATAGAAGTGGTTTTGACAAGATGCAAATTAATTATTAAACTATTTTGACTTGAAGTCAAAAATAATCAAACACGAAACTGAATTAATAATTATACAGTTTATGAATTTCAATACAAATAGAATAAAACAATTGAAAAAGCCAATATTGTATTGAAATTCCAGATTTCTTACTTTTGTTTCAAATCTTATCTTGGTCTAAAAAAAAACTTATCAATATATTATTTTCGGTATATTTTTTAATACTGTTTTGTAAATAATTGAGAAACCCGTTAAATTATTATTGAAATAAAACAATAGTTTAAATTTATCACGAGTCTACAACAACTCTTAAACTCAAGATAGTTGTCGAGCTTTATGTAGTTGACTGAAAAACAATTGTTCCATATTCGATGAATAATAAATATATATTCTAGAGTAAAAAAAATGCCAACGGCACGTAGTGTTCCCAAGCGGTCACCCATCCAAGTACTAACTACGCCCGACGTTGCTTAACTTCAGTGATCGGACGAGAACTGGTGTATTCAACGTGGTATGGTCGTTGGCGAAGACGTCGGAGAACAAGAATGTATTTAAGCTAATTAATAAATATACCATAATTCTTGTTTAAATGCAATTATAGTAAATATGATCGGTCTTAATTCCTAACACTGTCAAAAAACGTTTCCAAGGAATTAAACCTACAACTGCAGCTTATAATTTATTGTAATATCATAGCAGAAAAATTGTATGGTTATAAATAAATAATGAAAACATCGAAATAGAACAATACGAGTATAATACAGCGAAACCTCTCAATATCTTATACCTGCAGGCTGCAACTCTTATTCACTAAAATGTTCTAAAATATTAGAGACGCCCGCTATTTAGAGGAGTCCGTTTGGGATGACTAGTTACATTATTTGCGGAATAGTAATATCATTACAATAATTACCGCTAAACCGTTTAATTTTAATTTATATCACTGTCGAGAACAGTTCACCAATGGAAGTCTATTGAACTTTGTTGGCATTAGTAGTTAGACACTAACTGTCTAGGAACCGCAATGCAATATGTCCATAAACATTGTATAATAATATGTAGTCGTATAATATGTTTATATTATAAGCTGCTTAGCTGCTCTGATAAAAGATCGTTATCCATTATGGAATGTTTAAAGTTTAAATTTTGATCTTATTATCATAGTTATTATACCATTATAAGTTCGCAAACTATAAAAATATAATGCCATACACGCATTTAATGTCGGGTAAGAGGAATTCTGAATTGACAATGATTTTTTTATAAAGATATTCGTATTTTTTTGTTTATTGTACCGATACACTGCCCGGTAAAGTGATAGGATATTGAAAAACATACTTAAATTTCTATAAAGTTTACTTGAGGCCTTACTCGAGTAAATATAATTATAACATTTAGAATTAAAAAAAAAAAAAATTGAAATAATTCATTAGTCAAAAAGTAGACAGTGATTTTACTGTTATTATACTTTTATTTGGGTCTGTTTTTTTTTTTTTGTCAATTATTACAATATTTTCATTTTTATTTGAAACTAATCTATATTTTATTATTTTTCATTATTTTTGCATCAAATTATTTAAATTATGTTTTATTTGTTTATACAATTTTGCTACGACTAGCATACATAAGTATATAATATTACATTATATGTAGATAAAAAACAAAAAATCAAATAGGTAATCAAAAAAGTATGATGATTGATCTTAATTAACTTTGAAGAAAACTTTTGAAAACATTTTGAAGTTAACTTCATAACAAATTCAATTTAAGTATGTTTCTTTTTGAATTTCTATATATTTGGTCATTACTCATTACAATGAAAAAAAGTACCTACTTACTTGATTTCTTAGTGTTCAATATTACTCGTAGACCACACTGATTTATAACGTCTTTTGTTTGCCCTTGTGGTGAGTTAAGTACCATCTTTTTCACACAACAATCACATACACAAATAATCGCTTAGAACGCACATGACATATACACGACATTCTCTCGAGCACTTAGTAAATTGCTTATACTTAACTCCTTTAAAAAGGCAGGTATCGAATGCAATTCATACAATACTTACATAAGTATAATAAAGGCACATTTAATAATATAAGGAATCAATGTCCGCATTCCACTTTGTGAAGTTCTAAATACTAAATATGTTGTAGCTATTTTATAAAATATTCAAATTATACCTAATTTATACGGATACCTTCATCGCTATCAGTAGGAGGTGCCTATTTATGTTAAATTACATTTTTGAACTGTCCATACAATTATTGCAACACGACACCTGCAGCATGACTAATAATTATCATAAATATAGTGTCTTATAATCTAAAGATCAGTGATTTATTAAACAAATGGGTATCACAAAATTGATAGAAAATATCACACAAATTAATATGAAAAAATCTCTATATAGCAGTTTTTGGTGTGTAATATAATATTTACTCATTTCAACTTTATTCCATTGATTACACTTTTCGGTCGGTGGTACAAATTTTATCGTCCCACCACTCATATGATTGTACAAATCAGTTGGATACTTCTAAACATTTGCTTGTATCATTAAGCGATAATTAATTTTTCGTACCTTTATACACATAATATACAATACAATCATTTTATTTTATTATATTTACATTGATCATAATTAATACAATAACTACCTAACTGAAACTAATATTGGGAGATGATGTGGTTCAAACATTTCCGAGAAATACAATATATTTCTGTATTTGACGAATGGTTAAGTATACATTAAAAGACAAAATTAACAAAAATTAGAATTAAACAAATTATAAGTTTGTGTTATTTCAATTTTACTAATTTTTTCATATTTTTAAATTTGTATAACAGCCAGTATATTACAAAGTTCTAATAATGGCCCCTGATTATATTTATAGAATTGCTCTTATGCAATTTTGATAGTTCGTGGTTTTTTTTTTATTAAAATTATCAATTTAAACAAAAAAAATACTGTATTCTAATCTAAACGTTAATAATAATACAGTATTAACGCTTTCAGCGTTGAAATATATCATATTATTTTTATACAACGATCAAAGTTGTTTAATCCCACTTAATTCATTTTAATAATATTACGGTTTATAAATATATCTAGATAAAAACAAATGTAAAATTGTCTATGTATTGTTAACAAAACAAAATGTGTACCTATGTCAAATGTTTCACCGAATAAAGTTTACCAGGGGACAATGGAGTATTAATGTATAACTATTATTGACTTGACACACATCGTGGAAGTAAATACAGAAAACAAATCACGATTTACACATCATATAAGTTCAGTAACATCATAAAATCAGTGTAAATACCGTTAAGGTGTTAAGCAATCTTATTTATTCTGCGAAACTGCGCATAAATAATTAAAACAATTGCTACACAATCAGTCATATAATACATGCGATTTATAATAATCTTGAGTAATATATTCTATTATACATGAAACTTTCTAATGTAAATATAATGTAAACACGATGAGACAAAATCATAAAATCATCATCATAATATGTACGATGTCTATAATATGCCTACTAATGACTAATGTATAATAGTTATTATATAGTATTATTTTAAATTTTTAACTACTTACTAGTTACTATTATAATAATTATACTGATAAAATACATTTTAAAACGACATTTCAGATGTTTAGCACTTGGAATTTATTTAAGATAGATAATTTAAAAGCTTATTATTAACAGCGTAAACATATTATTGTGATTTATGATAAATATTCAATACACATTGTACATGGGTTGAAAAATATATATTATTTAATAAGGTTATTTTTGATTCAATTTTATCTAAAACTAAACCACTTCGACGACTGTTAAAAATGAAGTATTTTAAAAATATTTTATAATATATGAAATATCTATTGTAGCGGTAAGTTATATGGCATTTAATTTCACGGTATAATCTAAGCTAAAAAATATGGCTTTTTTTTAAATCTCAAGAGGAGAAAAATATTAAAAATATGAAAGTATAATATTAATAGTATTTTGTTAAATCTTTGTAATATTTTTTATATTAAAGTCATAAAAATAAAAATAAAATTACCTTTGATTCCCAAAATATAATGTATAAGAAACAAGAATATAAAATGAATTAATCTATAATATGCAAATAATTGCATGCTTAATAATTGTTCTTATTGGATTGAGCTTAATAATATTTTTTACTTCAGTAAAGTGTGCATACAAATTTAAAATCCTCTATTTCTCTCCCCTGTTTCGTTCCGATTTCAAGTGTACTTCACCATTGAGTAGGTGACTAATAGATGTGTTAAATTTGAATTAAGTTATAAATCATTACACACGCAAAACGATTCTGATCTGAGACGATGTTATGAAATCAGATAGTTCTGAGCCTTCATTTATAAGAATATATTTTATTATATACTTATTATTATAATGTATAGGTATACTGCAATTATAAATAATTATACGTTAAGGTTTAACTAATTTTTTCCAAAAAATATTGAATTTAATATAAGTATAATATTATTATTGTGGCTTGGCGGGGCGCGTTGGCTGC